CCCGGGGACTTGGCCGTAGGTACCGCCGAGGTGTGGAGGTCGCCCCCGGGCAGGGACGTGAGCGCTGCTCTTCTCGCCTGGCCGTGGGTGCCGTTTCGGCTTGCTTTCCGCCCTGGGAGGGATCAATGGGAAGTAGCGTTTAATGGTGCAAAAAGAATGCCGCTGTTGTGATGCTCTTGTTAAGACAATACAGGGGCACCCAGCCGTGTCTTGATGCTCAAGAATTTGAGAATACGAGATTAATAACTACATATAATTATGCAGGAGGTTTTCTGTGAGTAAAGGGTTTGTTTCTCAGCCCCTTCTTACACATTGCCTAAGAGTCCTTAATTGACTCCTCTCTATCTTGATGCTGCTCTGTGGAGGCTTGAACATATTTCTAAAGCATAGAGCACGTTGACTCCATAGTCCTCTACTTCCCATGCTTGCCAAAGTTGTCAGTAGTTTGAGCTGTAATCTTGTCACTTTTTCCTTGACAACTACAGTATCTTTGGTGATATTGGGGACTCTGGATGCATTTATTTAACTTGAAATATTTAAAATCACCTGCCTCAAAACTTCTGAGTCTTTTGGAACTAGTGTGCTGCATCTTTTCGTACTAGGAGTCTATTTTCTGTAATCTCATTCCTGTGGCCGTCTACTATTAATAGTGCTATTTGCTTTACAGTCTGTTACTATTCTTCTCTTTGCTACCTTTCTAATAAAGCCCTTTTTCTTCAAGCTCATCCTGTACAGCTTTATTCTTTTGTATGGTGCTTTACTGTGTTCATAGAGTTATAGGTTGGTTGGGGTTGGAAGGTACCTTTAAGATCACATAGTTCCAACCTCCACACTGCTATGGACGGGGGCACTTTCTATTAGGCCAGGTTGCTCAGGGCTCTATTCAACCTGCCTCAAACACTTCCAGCTTCTTTGGAAAACCTGTGCCAGCCCCTCACCACCCTTCACAGAGAAGAATTTATTCCTTGCATGTAATCTAACCTTAGTGTCTTTCAGTTTAAAGCCATTCCCCCATGTCCTGTCACTACATGTCTGAGTGAAAAACCCCTCTCCAACATTCCTGTAGCTTGCTTTAGATACTGGAAGGCTGTTATAAAGTCTCCCTGGAGCCTTCTCTTCTCCATGCTGAACAATCCTAACTTTCTCAGCCCGTCTTTGTAGGAGAGGTTCTACAGCCCTCAGATCATCTTTCTGGCCCTCCTTTGGACTTGATCGTCTTTATGTTAGGGGCCTCAGAGCTGGACACAGTACTCTAGGTGCGATCTCACCAGAGCAGAATAGAGAGGCAGAATCCCTTCCTTTGAGCTGCTGGACACACTGATGCAGTTCAGGGTACAGTCAGCTTTCTGGGCTGCAAGTGCACATTGCTGGGTCATGTTGTTTCTCATCCACCAACAACTCCAAGTCCTCCTTCTCAGGGCTTCTCTAAATATTCTCCACCCAGCCTGCATTTTTAGTTTGGATTGCCCTGACCCAGGTGCAGGACCTTGCACTTGGCCTTGCTGAACTTCACGAGGTTTGCACAAGCCCACCTCAAGCCTGGCAAGGCCCCTCTGGATGGCATACATACCCTCCAGTGTGTCAACTGCACCACACAACTTAATGTCATCAGCAAACTTGCTTGAGGGTGCATCAGTCCCACTGTCTGTGTCACTGCCAATTGTTATGTAATTATTTCAGTCAACCTTTTCCACTGAACCCATGTTGTCTTCTGTTGGGGAGGTCTTTTTAAGAAGGTTGATTCAACAACTAGAAGACAAATACAGAAAAAGGAAAAGATTTATTATCACTTAGTGTTTGTATTACCATGTATGTGCACCATCTGTTGTGACCTTTATCCAGGTTCATAACGAAAGCCTATCATTGTGCAAGCACAGTAAAAACCTGATCCTTGTCCCAGAGAGCCTTCAGCATAAGCATGAATGAAATGGCAATATGAATACAAAAACAGAAACTCAGACTTGCTGAATGTTTGTCATGATTCCCACAGTATATTACTAGTCTGATTACTGTTTTCCTTAGTAGAGAGCTTATGCCAGGTTTTACTTTAGATAATAAACTCTGCAAGGCATCTGCTTCAGCTCCAGTAGTACCAAAATACATAACTATACAGCTTTATACAAAATTGCTCATATGGCTGAAGATGTCACTGACAGTGGGGGACCAAAGAATCCAGGAGCAGCCTGTAATCAAGTTTTAGGTCTACTCCATGGTGTTTAAAAAAGAAGAAAAGAAGAAAGTGTGAAGCAAGTGGAAGGCTGGATTCCAGGGAGACCCAGCACTCACTGTTAGCATGGATGGATGGTGTTAGGAAAGCCGAAGTTCAACTGAAGTTGAGCTGTGCAGCCTATGTCTAGAGAAAGAAGTGCTTCTCGTTGCTAAATGGAGTTGGTCATTCAGTGGTAATAGACACAGGTAAGGTGAACGTGTCCAATGCCACTTTTGTCCCAGTCTTTGACTCCAAAGTGACTCAAAGGCCTGGGAGAATTTGTTGGCAATCATGGAGTGAATCTTCTTCGTAAATACTTCTTATCACCTGAAGGAAAAGGCAGGCATTGATTTATGTATGGTCAGTCATGCTTGATAAGTCTAATTGCCTTCCGTGTTGTAGGCAACAGGACAGTAGAGTATGTCATTTACCTTGACTTCAGCAAGGCTTTTCACATTGTGTTCTTTGTCTGAGTCAGGATGTTATGGACTGGATGAATGAACAACTAGATAAGTGAAAAAAAGATTGGAGGTCGAGCTCAGAGGGTTGTGATTAATCGGACATGCTATACCTGGTAACAGTTGGACCATTGCATGAGTGTACTGTGACCTCTCCTGTTTAAAATCTCTATCAGTCGCCTGGAGAACGTGTCAAAGTGTACTCTGATTAAGTGTGCAGGTGACAGCAAACTAGGGGAATCTGTTATACCTGAGGGCAGAGCTGCCACTCAGAGGCCCTTAGATGGGCAAGAGGAATGGGCCAGCAGAGATCTTAAAAAATTTAGCAGTGATAAATCCCTGGAACCGAAGGACTCCTTGCAACATACAGGCAACAGTGTGGGTGACTGCCAGACTGGAGGGCAGCTTTGCTGAAAAGGCCTGCAAGAGGTCTCAGTGCACAGCAAGCTGGACATGAGCCCACAGTCGGTCCCTGCAGAGCAGCATCCTGGGCCATACTTAAAGGAGCACAGCCACTAGATTGAAGGGAGTGGTTATCTCCCCCTGCCTAGCCTCAGGAGACATGTCTAGATACCATGTCCAGTTTGTGGCTACAGTACAGGAAAACTGTTCATCAGTTGGAGGGTGTCGGCAAAGGACTACCAAACTGGTCAGGGGCTGGAGCACTAGGGCTTGTTCTGACTGGAGAAAAGACAGCTTCAGGGGGAACTAACAGCAACTCCCCAATACCTGTGAAGAGCACTGAGAAGATGGAGCAGGCTCCTTTGTATGCATAGCAGGAGGGTGAGATAAAACAGGCATAAATTGAAATGAGATGTTCAAACTGGGTATAAGGAAAAAACTTCCCCACAAGGACAGTCAGTGCCACAGGTTGTACAGTGTGGTTTTGCCATGTCCATCCCTTAAGACTTGACTGGATAAAGCCCTGAACAGTCTTGCCTGCCCTCACAGCTGACCCAGCTTGAGCAGGAGGTTGGACTGGAGGTCTCCTGAGGTCCTCTCCAGCCTGAGCTGTCCTGTGATACTGTAAACCCTAGGGAACTGCAGTGCATATGCTCTCAAGCTTCATTCAGCCAGTCAGAAGTTAACTGTTTCTAGTACTCTCTATTTATGAGCAAAGTGGTATACATTGCTCTGGATTCTGGAAGTTTTTCCTCTGCAAAACTTTGTAATGGTTTTGTTATGAGTTTGAGGAGAATAGCCACTAATTTATATTGATGCAAATCATCTTTTGCTGCTAGCCAAAGGTGGAGACCAGCACCTAGTGTTGTTTAATCAGATAAATTAGGTATAATAGATTTATAAATTAGAGGTAGGTGAAGGAGTCTGCTTTGGTTTCTGTGTTGAAAGGGAAGTTAAATGAAAGCTCATTCCTGTTTCAGAAAGTTTTCCTGCTGCAAATTAAGGGTGTTTTTGTACTCCTTAAAGCAGCATTTTTTTCTTTGGCTTCTCAGATTGTTTCAAAATTGTATCAGTTTTAGTCAGGCGTCAAGTTATTTTTTGTTTCTGTGTATAGTGTTGTTCCTGTGGGGTAGGAAAACCAGGTCAGGGAATAAAGCAAACTGGTTCTGCTGTATAGAATGTACCTTCAGGAAGATACTGGAATTATTTTTAAGACAAACTGTCAGAATATAGCCTCTATAACTAAGGAAAGAGATTCTTCATGTTTTGGAACTTGCTTGTTTTTCCTTTGTGGTGTCATCTGGAGCCTATAAATTCCAGCTGACTTGAGCCACTTGTCAGTCAAAGCTGCATAAAAATAATGAAAATGTGACTTGTTGCATTTATATTTTATGATGGTTTTGTTCTCAAATGAAATGTGTAATAAAATCCTGCTAATGTGTTTAATCACTATTGTTGAAGTGTAAAGAGAGCAAAGCGTTATTCTGCTTTATTTTCCAGTGGCTTTGAAACGTATGTTGAACTTCAATGTTCCTCCTGTTAAAAACAGCACAGGAGAACCAGTATGGAAGGTAAGAACTCTTTGAACGGGAATAGGAGAATTTTATAGTGTTCAAAAAGTTCAGATTTGCAGATTTTAACTAACTCAAGTATCTTCCCTATGTTATTAACTTGTACAAAAGATTTTTTCCTGTATTACGAATATACAGAACTTAGTATCAGAACTGCTGGGAAAAATACGCATTTCAGGTTGTTGCTTGATGACCAAATGACTAACTGATTCTTTAGGCAATATTTTAATGAGTAATTGAGGAGGATATTTTTGAAACATACTTAGGTTTCATTCACACCTGTTGGCAGAAACTTGCATGATGCTTTACAGGTGAACTCAGAGTCAGAAAGAAGCCTATAGAAAGGGAAGAACTATTGATAGCCTGGAACAAGCCAAGCTCACACTGTCTTTATTACCTTTAAAATGTAACTTGTAGTTCATGAGAAGTTTTTGATGCTGCAAGTCCTGTCTATTCCTCTATTGTCTTTTTTCACAAATTCCTTTTTTTTCCATCTTGTTTTCTCCCAAATGCAGTCAGCAGAGCTGCACATACAGTTAGAAATCTCTTACAGCAGACTCTTGTTTGTCAGGACACTTTTCAGGAGATGGAAGTGATGATTCTCTTTCCCCTATATCACTGAGAGCCCTGTTCAGGTTAGGGTGGTAGTAGTTCTGTAAACATGAATTCCTGTATCCACTGCATCCTGTATTCTGCAGTATCCACTTTTTACAGCGCTTTATAAGATGATGTGTATCTGTTTCAGGTTCTCATTTATGACAGATTTGGCCAAGATATAATCTCACCTTTGCTGTCAGTGAAAGAGCTGAGAGATATGGGGATCACTTTGCATCTGTAAGTACTTAAAAATTGGGATTTTTTTTCTTAAAAGACCTTTATTTAATATTCACAAAAGTAATAAGACATTGAAAATCATTCATAAATAACTGGTAAAATAAAGATTATACCCTGACATGTTCCTAAAATCAGATTGCATTATTCGGAATCAGAGAGTGGAGAATTTCAAACACTGTTCAGTAGGATTTCTTACAAAGTACAGGAGGCCCCTGTTCAAAAATAAAAATTATATCCAGTAGGTACTTTTTTGGATTCTTTCTCTACAAATCCTTCTGTAATCGTATATGTTAAAATTATATTGGCACAAACTGTTTCATGGGACTGTGTATGTTCTCTGCTTGTCTTTTTATATGTAGAGTTTAATTGTCTGCTGTCAAACATATGAAATCTCTAAGTACAATTCTAAGAGATTTTCCATTTCTCTTTCCCCAGATTACTTAGTTCATTGTCATTCCTGAGCTGTGGTAATAGTCATGGAGAAACTTTGAAGATACATTTATTTTTCAAAAGTGTATTAATGTTTTCTAAGTGAAGGGTAGAAATTGAAACACAGTTTAGCATTTTGACACATCAGCAGAAATGTGAGAAAAACGTCTAAACACCTTGCCTTTAAGAAGGAAAAACAGGTTTAATAGTGTGAGAGATGCAGGGGGGTTTTATCATGTCAACAGTTAGCATTTGCATATGAGCTTCATGGATGTGATATTTTACCTTCCTCTGAAGGCATAATCTGTTTTTGAAGATTTGTGAAGCCTTTTCTCATGCTTCGAATAAACTTTGGAGACATCTATTGATATTTTCAGAAAAAAATCGTGCAGACGCTATTTTTGCTATGTTTGTCATGTCTTAAAAATCTAGCTAAATTTAGGGAGAAATTTTAGCAAATTTCATGTGTCTGTACAAATAAGTAATTTCTGTAAGTTTTACAATTTTAAATGTATCAGAGAAGCAACAGATTAGAGATGCATTTTTTTCTTCTTGTCAGACTTTTGCATTCAGATCGGGACGCTATTCCGGATGTTCCAGCTGTTTACTTTGTAATGCCAACAGAAGAAAATATTGACAGAATGTGCCAGGTAATTTACCTGCTCAGTGTTTCAAGTGAGCGGACACAACGGTGTGTGAAGTAATCCTACACTTACAAAGTGTGACTGTTCTATGTTTAGTTCTTGTGCATGTCTGAACACCTTTGCTTACATTTTTTGCACATTAGGACATAGTCATCATAAAAATATTACCCATAATGTTTGCATGCAAAACTTCAATTTCCCAGGAAGCAGAAGGGTAAATACGTCTCATGTTTCAGAGAGAGAGTTTTATGAATGAAAAGTCAACAGGCAGTGAGCACAAATGGAAATATAGGCCATTCCACTTATTTTAATGAGAATGGCTTAACAGTGAAACAGATTGCCTGGAAAGTTTGTGGAGGCTCCATTCTTGGAGATGTCCAGAACCTGACTAGACACAATCCTGAGCCACCTACACTATTTGATTCTGCTTTGAGCAGGAGGATTGAACTAGGCTAAACCTCAGTTTTTCCATTGTCTGTGAGGAATTTGTGGAAGGTTGACAACTTTGCCAGTGGAAAGAAAAGAGCAAAGGGTATTTTTGGTCAGCAGTAAGGTGTGGAATAGTAGTTGCTGTCTGGTAGCTTCAATTTCATTTCCTGTTTTTTGCATTTCTGTGTTAGGCTGTTTGTATCTGATTATGTGTTCAAAGCACTTGTGTACAAAGCCGGATGAATAGACAGCCAAACACTTCTGAAATTTAGTTTGACTTGGTAACTGGAACATCACATAGTAAAAGTATGATTATTTTTTTTTAATTAGTCAGAAATATATTAGTACTTATTCAGGAAAAAAGTTGTGGTTTTTCTTTCTTTTAGGATCTTCGAAACCAGCTTTATGAATCTTATTATTTAAACTTTATTTCTGCCATTTCGAGAAGTAAACTGGAAGATATTGCAAATGCTGCTATAGGTGCTAATGCAGTAACACAAGTGGCTAAGGTAAGAAAATGCCCAGTCCCTAATGTTGAAGATGCTACCATTACAGGTGTTATTGCATTCTTATTGTGAGGCATACTGGGTAAAAAATGGGAATCTACAGTTGTCTCAGTAATGCAGCTTAGTGCCATACTTCAGCTTAGTCAAAAGTCCAAGTGCTGCAAGACTTTTGTGCTAAATGATAAGAGGGGAAATACAGCAATTTCAGAGTATTCCTGATCCTATCAGTTGACTTATATAATGGGGTGGGGTTTTAGCTCCTAAATACGTAAGAAGTGCACTATGAATGCAATTGTAATTTTAAATAATATTTCATACATACACTTAATGAGTACAACAGTTGTGAAATGAAATGAACACTGCTAGTATTGTTTAAGCCTTAGATCCTCAGCAGGAGTCAATTGGTGTAGCACTGTAAACTGACTTTCTAAAATCTGTTTTTCTGGGGTAATGTCCCATTAACAATTTATCCTATAGAGAGATTTAATTTTTTTACTGAATGTACAGGTATTTTACAGAAAACTTAGAATTCATGAGCTGTCATGTCTCACTGTTTAGATACTGCCCTCTTTCCTCTCTCTTGCCTAAGAGCTCAGTGCTGCTTATGCTGCAGTGCTTCATATTAATAAAAAAATGAACCTATAAGACTGTAATGCCCTCCACATGTGTTTTTTCAGCGTTGCTTGGCTACTAAAAATTTGTCCACAGAAACAGTTGGAGTTGGACTGTCCTGGCACTTTTCAGTGCTCTAATGTTTTGTGTTACCACTCAATCCTTACACAGGCTTTTTAATGCATAAATTATATCTTACATTTCTTTATTTTAATAGGTAGCTCTTTAAAATGTTCAGAATGAAGTAGCAATAAATGACAGATAGGGGGTTTTATGCATCACTCTGGACGATTCTGACCATTATTCCTTGATTTCTAGGTGTTTGATCAATATCTTAATTTTATTACTTTAGAAGATGACATGTTTGTATTGTGTAACCAAAACAAAGAACTTGTTTCATATCGTGGTAAGTAAAGTTTATATAAAAATTCTACTTGAGTGTCTGATGTTGAAATTTACTTTTGAAGTTGTAGCTAATAGTCAGCAATGATTTTATTTTGCTTTGATCCACTCTGTTAGATGTGTAAAGTCATGAAGAAAGCAGTTCTTAGATCTTCATTTCAGCATGGCTATTGTGAAATTGAAAATGAAATATGTACTTTAAAATATAAATTTAGTAAATCAAAACTGCAGTATGGACATGTATGGGTTGGAGTGCTTTTATAAGAGGAATAATACAGGAAGAATATATTGTTTTCACACATAGATAGACACTGTGGGAGGGAAAAGGCATTGTAGACAGTCAAAAATGCTGATTGCCTCTGCAAGCATGTGAGCCAAGCATGTCAGCTTCTTTGTAAAGTCTCAGAGTTGCAAGTGAAGTCAGCCTTATTGAACTCCTTTTTAATTTTCTTGAGACTTCTGTTGGACCTGGTTTAGAACCTAGCAGGAAAATCAAGTTGGCTGCCTTAGGTCAGTTACCTTTACACCTATAGTGCTATGGCAGCTCAAGTCATATATACTAGTTGTCATAATTGTCCACATGATTTTCCTCCCCTTGTTTGTTCTGATTTTTGGTCTCCCTTGCCCCATTCAATATGATAAATCAACAGAGAACTACCACCCTGCCTCTTCTTGCTGTCTTACTCAAATGGCTGGCTATTATAGGGTACGTTGTCTTGCTGCTCCTGCTGTAGTTCTGCTCATCCTCTCCTCGTTTTACATCAGAACCAGTAATTTTGGAGCTTCAGTGTTTGTTTAATTAACTCATTCCTTAGAAAAATACCAGCTCATTTGTGTGATCTACAAATGCAATTCAAGAGAAGCAGCAGAAGTGTGTAAGTCAGAGGCAAGATAGCCCTTTATTTGAAGCAACTCCTCATTACTCTAGTGTAGTTACGGTGTCTACACACAGTGCCACACAGTTAATTCCTGATTTATTTGGTTGCGTATGGTCACTAATGACCATGTAGAGATGAGAAGTCTTCGTATGTCTAACATTTAACAGTGAGATTTTTCTTCTTTCTTGACCCGTTTCAGAAGTCACCGTCTTTCTTTAAAACTTGATCCATAATACTGAGTTGTGTCTCACACTGGGGATTGATTCCATTGGCAGAATGAGGGATATTTTTGTTTGAAAAGCAGACTTCTATTTTTTTCACTAAAATTTGCTGGGGGGGAGAAAGCACCTTTAAAGTTAGAGAATAGTTATAGCTGGTCATGCATAAATTTAGCGTAGAAGGCTTATAAATATTTAGAGCTTTGAAATAATTCTGAAGAAAGAGGATAAAGCAGGTAATTATGTGAGAAATTTTAAAAGGTATAATAAAACAAACAAGGATGGTATTTCTGGAATGAATCAACTTTAGACCTGTGATAAGATTTGGTCTGATGTTTCCTGTTTACTATTATATTCTTGTCAGTGTTAGTTATTTAAGAGAAATGTTAGTACGTGTCTCATGTTCTGACCTAAATGTGTGAGGAAAATTTCTCTTATCTGTCATGTGAAATGTTTTATAACTTGGAAATTATCCCTAATGTAGAGACTGACATTAAATTTATTAGGGGAAAAAAAAAAGTAGTCTGTATTACAAGAGGTGGGATTTAGAGCTTTAAATGTAGATAACTGCATACTGTAATTCTCTAAATTACACAGGTAATTTTTGAGAATTGTTTTTCCAGAAAGTGTTTTTCAAGTGGTTGGCCATTTCTGTTCCATAACATGTGCCTTTTTAAAAGGTTTTTAATAATACAATACTAATACATGCCTAAAGGTACAGTATGCATTGTCAGAGAGAATTAGAAACAATTGTGCAAGTGTTTGGCCATATGCAGTAAGCAGTAATTTTTTTTGCTCCAGTTTTTTGCTCAAAAAAGAGGAGTGGATACTAGTGGATGTGCTAAGAGGGGCATTTCACAATTTGATCTCACCTGCAATAGAAGCTGTTGGGTATTAACAGCCATTAGGTAAGAAGAGGATTGCTTCCTCAGTGTTAAAGTGGCAGAAACTTATTTAATCCTATTCTTAACTCTTTCTCATGCTGTTTTAGCCATTAACCGACCAGATATCACGGACACAGAAATGGAAACTATAATGGACACTATTGTTGATAGCCTCTTCTGCTTTTTTGTTACACTTGGTAAGTTTCCAAATTCTAGGGTATTTTCCATATTCAGTGAGACAAGTTTAGTGATTTCATATAGAAAATTAAAGAGAGAATTAGATCTGTGACCAAAATCTGAGTGATCTTGCTCAAATTATTACTTTACATCACTGCAAAGTACATTAAAGACTGCTCTTCATGGAATTTGATTCTTAGCCTTCAGTATCAGTGGGAGAATACTGAAATGCAAAGGTTTGGATTTACTGTTTTTACAAAATCCTAGTTGCAATGATGATAATAGCGCTTTGAGTTTGGATTTGTAGCTCTCACAAAACAAAACAAAACAAAACCAGGAAAAAAAGGAAAGTCCCATTACACAAACCCTGCAAAAATCTAACTGAAATAACTCAAGGAATAGAAAGATACATTGATTTTACTATGTCTGTTCAAGAGAGACTCCGTTGGACCTGTCGAGTTCTTTCAAGTGTTACTGTGATGCAAATTAAATGTCTTTTACTCAGTCACTTAAACGTTATGGTTTTGGAATTTTCATATTTGTTTATATAATGGAGAAACCATAGCTAAATATTTTGAAACCTGAAAGCTAGTGGAAAATGTGCTTTTGAAAATAACATGATCCTGCGGTGAGTTGTAATAGGGACACTGTCATGGTATAATACAGAATCACAGAATAATCAGAGCTGGAGGGGACCCTTGAGGGTCATCCAGTCCTGGCCCTGCACAGGACATCCCTGATAATCACACCATGTGCCTGAGAGCGTTGATACTTTTTCTTATTTTCAAGGGACTTCAAACATTTTGAAAATAACTTTTAATGCTTCTGTTTGAGATATACTGTCCCCTCCATAGTTTATTAGCTAACTTTCTAGTGTATACCGATAACTCATAAATTCCTGTGTGAGGTATTCACTTACTTTTGTAAAACTTTATTTAATATTTCTGTATAGTATTTTTGTTTCATAGAGAAAGACTCCAATAGAAAAATTTAATGTAAGTTTGAATTTAATCTCAGAATGCTACAAAACTTTGTTTATGAAAAGTACACTTATTTATAATCTGAAAATTACAATGCACGTAGATGTCAATATATCTTTTATTAGGGGCTATTCCTATAATCAGATGCTCAAGAGGAACTGCAGCTGAAATGGTGGCAGTGGTAAGAATTGTTTTTCTAAACACCTATCATTGTTTTAAGACTTTCCTAATGCCATGTTTACTTTTCTCTACACTAGGCAGAGATATAGTGTCATTGTATTCTTTTCCTAAGAAGGAAATAAAACTGGAAATGAGATACATCCATTTTCCTTTCTGATTTCAGTTCCATGGAACTTTTCTGTAAAATCATAATGTTGTGGAGTCAGATGATGAGAAAGTTAAACATGAATAATCATTTCTAATCTAGAGTTTATCAAGATTTTCTGACAGGCATTATAATTAAGCTACGCCTGCACAGTTTAAAAAGTCGTCATCTGGCCTGTGATTTTCTGCATATCTCAGGCAACCCCATAAGTACAAGACATTTTCACTATATCAGACTAAACTGACATTGACCTTGATTATCAAATAGGGATGAAATGACAAAACTAAATTACAATTGACAATTTCTACAGCAATGTCTTCATTAGGAGTCACTGGCTTCCTTTCTTCTATCTTCCTTCCAACTTTCTTGTCAGTGAAGCCATAATACTGATGAAATCTCAGCATTCTGTGTGCACACATTTTCATATTGAGGATAATCTCATTTTTATGAAACATTTTTATTAAACACTTGTGTGGCGGTGTCTGACAGCCCAATATGCTGCTTCTGCTGTGGTTCCCTCTTGGTGCCTCCTACTGGTATTTTCTATTTGCATGTTTAGGGAAAGGGTCCTATTTGTCTGGGCGGGGATTAATGAACACAAGGAAACATCTTCAGTGTAGTCCTGGGTATAAATATAAATGCTGGAAGGAGAAAATAGAAGTAAGATTTCTTTCTTTCCCATGTGCAGTGGACCTAGTCTTGATACAGCTAAGACATTTGTAAGCTACAAAAACAGCATGATAAATCTTTTAATGGTTAGGAATCCGCTGGTTCGTTAAAAGCAGTTTTATTTTCCTCCCCTCAGAAACTGGATAAGAAGCTCAGAGAGAACCTCAGAGATGCCAGAAACAGTCTTTTTACAGGCGACACACTCGGAGCTGGCCAGTTCAGGTATTGTGTTAGTAATAACTAGGTATTTTTATTTTTCATATTTCAGTTGTCTGAAATGTCTCACTAGGATAAGTCACCATTGTACCGAAAACTCTATTTACAAGAATTTGGTTCATATTTGATATTGAAAGAATTTATATACTCTTAAGGGAATTTTCCAATCTCTCAGCATGTGTTTAAAAACTTTTATAGCTAGTAAGTGTATGGTCTTAAGAGAGTAAATCAAAAATTATTTAATGAAGCAGTTAATTTTGTTCAGCCTCTAAACCCAGCAAGAATCAAGGTTGTGCAATACACTCTGTTTACAGGACCACATTATGCAGTTGGGTGTCTGATCATATCTGTTAGCAACCTTTAGTCCATCAAAAGAAAGAAAGAAAGACTCATTTTCTCACTTGTGAAGACTGTTACCAGTTGTAGTTTGGTCAAAAGCAAGTGTTTCCCAGCTGGTCCCTATATGTACCAGAGGAGGACTGCTTAACGACTTGGATCATTAGATGGTTAAGGTCCCTTAAGTCATGACCATTTGAATCCTTTATAGATGCCTGCATGCATCTGATACTGTGTTCTCAGTAGCCTCCCTGTATTCTGCTGTCCCCAGATAGTTGAAGACTCCACAGGCTGCCTTAGGAAAGTGTACACAGAAAGGTGAGGAGATGTGTTGGCAAAACTGTAGCTGGAGGAAATGGTTATAATCTCCTAACTGGATATAAACCAGTCATCATACTTTTATCTCAAATTAAGAGCAGAACTTGGATAAAAGGCACAAAAAACATCAAGGGTGGTGAAATGGAATGAGACTGAAAGGAGAGTGAATAGCTGTGAAATACCAGTTCCCTCGTTTTCATGGGAACTGAATTCTAACCACTGATTTTCCTTCAGAGGCGTGGCTTGTTTTCCTGATAGTATAGCATCATTACCCTCAAAATTAAAATGCAAGGAAAGGGAAACATGGGAAACTTTAACAGTTAAATGGCTTCAGATCTGTAGTTTGTTTTTCAGAATCAAGTAACTAAGGCTCTTGAGATTATATATTTAAGTGAACATACCTACTGCACAGAAATCCAGAGCATGGGATTTACATGCTTTTACTCTTCAAATACACTTTAGCTGGCATGTTTAATTGTAGGGGTAACATGCTTAAGGGAAATGCTTGCAATAATGTTCTGTCAGTTCACAGGCTTCCTATCTTCACTATAAATTTTTCATGCAGCCATAACCCTAAACCTTTAGGCATGAATGCATCCTTTTACCACAAAATTGAGTAGTGATGCAATAACCACAGTGCATCTCAGAAGTTCATTTTTTAATGGACTTTTTATACAAGCAAAGAGAAAAATGAAATTAAAGACCCTTTGAACAGTTATTTTATATTTGAGGTTCATGATGGGGGTTAAGGTCGAAAATTACTCACTCAAACATTTGTTTGGAACTCAAATGTGTATCCACACAAAGACATATTAGTTAATGCCTAAAATGTTAGACTTCTGCTCCATATTTATATATTGGTAATTTCACTTAGTGCAAAATGAAGTAACCTTTTTGTCATTACTAAGATTTGATTCATGGAATTTCTGGCAATGACCGATCTCAGTTACTTTGGGGAAGGCTGGAGGAGCTCAGCAGTAGGCACTTTTGCTTTTGGCTTGAAATATGATGTAGAAGGTGGCTGATATCACTCAGGATGTTACTGGGGTGTTTTAATCATATTTAAAGAAGTACTAACACAGTGTCATCTTTTCAGCTTCCAAAGGCCCCTATTAGTCCTTGTTGACAGAAACATAGATTTAGCAACTCCTCTACATCATACTTGGACATACCAAGCTTTAGTGCATGATGTTCTGGTAAGGATAAATCTGATTTTGTTACCAAAACTATTTTTTCACTCAGTTTGTTGTTAAACTTAACACCAGAATCTCTCTTAATCCAAAGTCTGTTTTGTCTGGAAGATTTTCTCTAGAACGTTTATTTAGCAATAATTTCAAAAAGGCTTTAAAAATTGAAATCTTGATATCATAAAAAGATAGGTAATACAGCAATCCTGGCTTTTTCTTCAGTAGTTCATAATATTTATGTTATGTAATATCAAGACTCCATTAAATGCAATTCAGTTTTGAAAAATAAATGCTTTTAATGTGTTTTTAAACCAATTTCATTTTTAGTTTGAATTTTTAATGTCCCCTTCTGGTTTTCTCCACAAGGTGGTGTAGATGTTCAATACAGATACCAAGTATATGACCCTACTGTGACGACTCTAAAATAGTTTTTTTTAATTACATTTTTTGAATTTGGATAGTCTTAATCAACTCAAGTTTATTTTATAAAACCAGTAGTAGAAATGTACTTGAAGGAAAGCTGATAGTGTTTACCTATAGTGTTTACCTATATACAAAATTCATATAGTTATAGACTAAATAATAAAAATAAATGGGCAAGAACAATTAGTATCTGGAGGCTTTTTTTACACTGAGAGTTATTCATGAAAATCATTTCAATATCTAGCTTTGAGAAATATTTTGGGTTTATTACTGAGACTGTTAGAGCAATACCTGAAATATGCATATATGTGTTTGTATACAAAGTTGATTGTGAACTGTATAGTCATACATACAGTGTTGTTCAGAAACTTGCATTGCTACAGTGGAAATATTTCAGCACTAATTGGCTGGTTTAGGATATTTTAAAATTCTATTTTATGTAATTAATTCCGTATTACAAGTCCCTTCCTCTTGCACTTAAATGTGCATTTTACAAATAAACAATTTCTGGCCTAGTTTCTTTAGGAAAGGTGTATGTGAAAAAAATACAGTTTGCACTGAGTTTTCTCCAATAACTGTTGAACTGGCTAGAGACCTGCAGGTAGAAGTACTGAATTTCTACGTGTTTCTTTTGAAAGTAGAGTAGGGGATGGAAACGCGAATTATGGTTTTCACAGGTGTGAAGACTATTGCACAAGGTCTGTGCTTACTTCAGTTTGTTACCTACTAACCATTTCATCAGCAAATGCTCACTTGCTCAATAGTAAATCCACGCAAAGCTCCATGCACTTGGCTTCAGCTCATCAGCCATGTAGAGAAGATAGTGTTGGGTGGCCTCAGGGATGTCTTGGGGTAGGACTTTGGTGCATCAAGATGCAGAGGGATCAAAGATGTACCGGAAGCTGGGGACAACTGGTGCTACAAATACAGCAGAGTAGATATTTATCTGTGCTGCATCAGGCTTCAGTAGTTTCTCAGGAACAACTTGTTAAGTGTTGTACCTTATTTTTGACTGAGTTGATAGGATTATGTTTAGTGAAATTGCAACCAAGTGGTCTGTGATTCCGTGGCAAGGGCAAAAGTTTAATTTCAGAACCAGTCAAGTTACCTTAAAGGCAAGCATACCAGATTCTCCATGTACTGAGCATAGTATTTTGAGATAACCTCAGTAGGTTAAGAGGCCATAAATTGTAACTACGAAATTGTTACCAAGATGTTGATTATGTAAACTCTGTTTTCAAACCAATTGTTTTTCATTTAAGATCTCAGTTACGATAGTCCAGTGAATCTGTGCGGCATCCAACTATATGCTAATCCAGGATGCAGTTGAGTGCTGCATGCATTTAGATTATAACCATGGTGTTTCTACACATAAACAGGCTTATGTGAAGAGATTTCTATTTCTAAATAAAAAACCTTGCAGGAGTGGATACTGAAAAAATGGGAGGCATGGATAGAAATGGGGGGGGTGAAATGAGGAACACTAATCAATAAAAATAATTTTAGGAAAACTCCTTGTAAATGCCAAAACTAACTTGGAAACTCAGGTCACTGGTGAGTTCAATCAAGCCAAAACATAGATCTCCGTTAAAAATTGCATCTAAATTTGCAGTCAAATTATTTTTTTCCTTTCACGTTTTTGTTGAATATATGTACTTGAAAAGGACTCTTTTTTTTTGCTGAAACAATAAACACATCTTGTAAGATGAGGTTCGTGCTCGTTGACTACATAAGTTTCCTATGAGTAGCTACTTGATTTTGTTTCTATTCTGGCATGAACCGTTTCTAGCATTTAATTTTAAGTCCCTGCCAAGGGATAACTAGAAACATTTTAAAATATTATTTGACAGTTTCAGTTACAGTGATCTAGTTCTGTATACTTTAATGAACATAATAAAGTGGAGTTTTGTTTCCAGAAAAAATATCTGTTCTAAAAGGTTCATGACAGATTCTGTATAGTTGAAGATTTTACTCTCTATCATTATTTGCCAAGCAAAGAGCACCTTTGAAATTTTAAATGTTCTTGAAAAGGGCTGGAATAAAGTCAGCAAGTGGAGTACTTGTTAATAATCTTTGTTGAAAACCAGAGGGAATGTGTATGCTGGAGAAAATGCAGAGCTGTCTTTGGCAAAATTAATGGGCAAAGAACGAGACCTACAGGGAGCAGTGTGGTGACATAATACTGTGTCCTCTAGCAAAGTGAGGTAGTTTCTATGTTCATGCATCTGTGGAAGAAGAAAAGCTATGTGGAGAAATAACATCTTTGTTGCAAACTTTTGCTTTATCAGGCAGTCACTCTTTCACTATTGTTTAAAAAAATTTGGGAAAGAGCTGTGAAGGTGTAGCTAAACAGTCATCACAGTGAAAAATCCTGTTGCTCATGTCATGAGCTTCTTCGCAGCCTTGATACATTTGTTGTCGTCTTGTGAACTTTGTCTGCAACACATAGACTTTCATACTTTGAAGTTTTAGTTAGTTCTTAGAGAACAATTTTTGCTAAATAACTTACTTTCTGTGCAGAAAACAGTGTGTAAAGGTCAGTGTCAGAAGAATGCTTGCATATGAGACAGTCAAAAGTCTTTGCTTAACATATGTTGCTTTGATGTTTTTTCAGTAACTGTGAGTAATTTTGGAGTTCTTATATTGCTGTTGCTATTATCTAGTTGTTATTACTAGCTAGTAAATGGTTTCCTGCCCTCTTAGGAAGTTCTAATAAATAGCTGTATTAATATTTTTTAAAAAAATATTCTCGAAGATATTTGGTTGAGTATAAACGACTGATTAAATAATTCGAAACTGCCAAATATTGACATAAGATTCGTCTTTATTTTAGGATTTCCACTTGAATAGAGTTAATTTGGAAGAATCAACAGGAATGGAAAGTTCTCCAGCAGGTGCTAGACCTAAGAAAAAAAATAAGAAGTCCTATGATTTAACTGCATCTGACAAATTCTGGCAAAAGCATAAGGGCAGGTAAGCTGTGTAGGTACATGGTTTATATTAATTTGCTCAGCATAAATTCCAAGTTCATATTATGGTAATTCTATTTTTAGCTTATTTGAAAATACTTTGTAAGTCTGTTTTGGGGTTTTTGAGGTGCATTGGGTCTGGCTGAGATGGAGTTAATTTTCCCCACAGCAGCCCTTACAGTGCTGTGCTCTGCACTGGTAGCTAGAAAGGTGTTGGTAATATACCAGGATTTTGGCTACTGCTGAGCAGTGTTGGCACAGCATCAGCACTGTCTCTCCAACATTCCCCCTCAGCAGCAGGCTGGGGGTCAGGAAAATCTTGGGACGGGACATAGCCAGGACGGCTGACCCAAACTGACCGAATAGATATTCCATACCATATGGCATCCACTCAGCAATGAAAGCCAAGAGAAAGGAGGGAGAAGGGAGGAGCATTCAATTTTTTTACAGTGTCTTTCAGCTGGAGCAATCACTCCACTTCCTGGGAAGTGGACAGACATCACCTGCTAGTGGGAAGTGGAGAATAAAATCTTTCATTTTCATTTGCTTTCACACACAGCCTTTGCATTTTTCAACTGCCTGTGTCTTAACCCATTAGTTGGAGGTATTTTTGCATCTTATTTTCTCCCCACCCTGTCCTCCTGAGGCGAAAAGTGATAGAGCAACTTGGCGGAGCGACTGATTGTCTATTAGCCCAAAACCATTCTTACCAAAATTACATAAAACTATTGAAAACAGTGAACAAATATATCTTAGAAAGTTTAAGTAAACTACAGTGAGGTGTCATTATTTTCACTGATTTGATACTGCTGTGTGATTTGTGTATTGTTATTTCTGAAAAAGTTTTCATGGTCTGGATCTAGTGTTTCAATTTGTTGATTTAACTGAGCCTAATGTGGAGTATTGCATTAGTCCTTTTCCAGAGGTTGCCGAGTCTGTTCAGCAAGAACTGGAATCCTACAGAGCCCAAGAAGATGAAGTCAAAAGACTTAAAAGTATCATGGTAAGTTTTATTGCCTATATGTGCTTTATGTAAAGCATAATAGGGCTTGTAAAGATGCTTAGCCCAACCTGCCATCCCACACACAAAAATTACCAGCACATGCTGAATTTTAGGCCTAATACAATCTTATAAGTAGGACTAGAAGTACCATATTTCATGAGAAGGTTCAGTTCCTTGCATTTATTTGTACTACAGTTATATAACGTCCATAATAACTGAAAAATGCAACTCAGACATTAATACCATTATGAGAAAATAGATTCTAAATGTACTGATAGTATTTGCATGTTTGATATTTATATTTATTATGACTATTATTATTCCTCTTTCCAAATCTTTCAACAAAACCCAGGGTATAGAAGGGGAGGATGAAGGAGCAATAAGTATGCTTTCAGATAATACAGCTAAGCTGACTTCAGCTGTCAGGTAAGTATCAATAATCATTATTGTTTAATTAATTGGGAACCATTACTAATTTTTTCTGTCATTTCACTTCTAATATCCTTTGAAATAAATAGCTTTAAAAGTAGTCTATTCAGCTCAATAATATAGTTTAAATGCTTTATAATTCTGGTAAAGTTAAATGCAATGTCCAAGTAAAGTGCTTGCATATGTAACTTTCACAGCATGTGTTGTGACCTCTCTACACATGGAGTGTTTCCTCAGCAAAGCTGATTAAGTTAAGTGCGTCATATATTTACTTGCACTCTTCCACCAAAAAAAACCAACAACCTCTGCATTCTGTCATTCTAAACATTGTTAGTGAAATCCACTTGCTGAAGTGTTGCTTGCTTTGCCCAGTAATTAATAACATTTTGGTTGCGGGTGATGGTTGATGAAAAGCTTAACATGAGCCAGCAGTGTGTGCTCACAGCCAAGAAATCCAAGGACATATACAGATGTGCCAGCCCTGGCAGTGTTCAAAGACAGGTTGGATAAGGCCTAGAGCAACATGGTCTAGTGAGAGGTGTCCCTGCCCATGGCAAGGGGGGTTGGGACTCGATGATCTTCAAGTTCCATTCCAAACCCTTAACATTCTATGATTCATGTAGCTGATGTAACATCTATTGGCAAGTTTATAGTCATTAAGAAATCTGCATGAGAAATTTACTGTCCTGCATTTAGAGACCTAACCACCATGGATGACTCTGAAAGTCTGAGATTTAGACTTGTTTCTCATTGTAAATTTGTTGTTCATTCCACTGATGCCTTGGAGAAGGAAGATGTTTAGTTTGCTGCCTTTCACTAAGACCCAATCAGAAGGAAGAAGAAACAATAGTAGATGAATTATAGAGGATAGATAGAGCAGTATGCCCAGTGTCCTGTGAAATCCAGCATGCTTGCATTAGTTAGTTGTCTCAGTGAGTTTCAAAAGTTGTTCTGTATGCTATGTCCTAATTAGAAATCGATTAGAATTACAAAGGATGTGTGATGGATCAGACAGGTTTCAAAAAAAGCAAGCAGATATTTCCAAGTTCCACCTTTAAAGTTTTGTACTATTCAAGATACTAGTTTTCAGGTTAAGACATTGGCTTTGGCTCTGATCTTTAGAATTATGCTGAGAAGTCCCGATACCATTAAAATCTTCCATTTAGGCATGTTTCTGCTGGACAAATTAAACTAGGCTTTGCTGTTCTATTGTCCATTGTTTGAAGGTTATCTTTTTCTTGCTAGCAGATGATGAGCAACAAAACAGCAAAACGTAGTTTAAGTCTTGGGCTTTACAACTTCTAGATCAGTTTGGAATATCTATTAGCAATTTGAAATCAGAGGTTCTAACAGAGAGGACCTGTTTTTTTGATTAATTTTTTTTTTAAATGCAGTCCTTTACAAAGGCAGTGCTAGTCACCTTCCACCTGTAAGGTCATGAATGGCCAATCATCTTAGGTAACATTGATTTTATGATTTTCTAAATAAGGGAGGGAAGTATGGATACGTGGTTCTTCAGGATATGCTGTCAATGTCATTAAGTGCCTGATCATCTGCTTATTATTAAACAGTAGAACCGTGGCTGTCCAGGGTGCTTTTTGGATGTGAAAGTATGTAGATCCTGAGCAGTCTTTTGTAAGTGTGATTCCCAAGTGCCAGCTGTGAAAATCATGTAGATCATAACACCCTGAGTAACAATTTTCAGCAAAGTAAACTCAACCATTCAGTTTCCCATTTCAAAAAACAAAAGACCTGAATACAAATCCTGCACAGAGAATTTTGTTCCATGTAGAAGCATGTGTCACAAATTCTGGGACATCCAGATGTTTGGTATATATTTGACAGATA